AGAGATATCTAGGCAATTTGCTTTCTGGATGCAGTTTTTGTGCATTTTGAGACCTTTTTCAGACGATGTTTTGTTAGAAAGCTACGATTTGGTTCGAAACTAATATCAGATTCGGAATCAGCGTTAAAAACTGAGTCGATTTATATATGTTGTGAATAATTCTAAGAAAAATTTTTTTTTTTTTAAATCCCTGTACCCCCCCTCAGGGATGGTCTGGTCAATAATGACAATTTTTTCGATAACTCAGCCATTTCTTGACGGATCCTTCTCATCTTCGAACTCGACCGAGACATTGATGAGACTCAACTGTGTAGAAAATTTCATCACGATCTGACTCTCCTTTCGAAAGTTATCGTGTAAACGGCCGGACGGACGGACACACTGACCGATTCTATAGTGTACTCATTTTTTGAGTACACAAAAAAGATATTGTTATTAATAACAATAACAATACATTCACACCTCTAATACAGGAATCTCAACCCGAACCCGAACCCGAACTCCGAACCCGAACCCTTACACCGAACCCTAAGACCGAACCCGAACCCGAACCCGAACCCCGAACCCGAACCCTGACACCGAACCCTAAGACCGAACCCGAACCCGAACCCGAACCCCGAACCGTTCGGTCCGAACTCCGAACTCGAGTTCGGGTTCGGTGCATGCCTATGAATATGTATTTTATTATTTCTATCGAGATACCTTTTGAACAGATTTTGAAGCAAGAAATAGATGGACAACTAGCATCATTGACAACTTCTAATGTATCGAAATTTTCAAATGAAAGAGCTCGCCTCTTGATTATATCACAAGTAAAATCTTTATCTTTATTGAAACATTGGTCAATTATATCTGATGTTCGTTTATTAAAATAGCTTTTCTTTGATGCTTTTTTTTTGAAAATTGATTAAATAAAGTTTATCTGTTGGTAATCAGATGTAGATTGAGATACTATTTGATAGAATTTTGCAGCAAGAAGACAATCAACTAGTAGATATTCTATAGGATAAGAAAAATTTTCTGATCGAAATTTAATTGAAGAAAGATATTTTGTCAAATGAAATTGATGAAGAGAAATAACCCGAAGAAATAATCTCTATTATTCCATTTCCTTCCAACTGAAAATTATTTTCTGATCAACAAATTATTTCTCTATCTAAAGAAAAACATTTTATTTTGAAATGATTTATTTACTAAAGAATATTTTTCTTGAAAATAATTTCGATGAAAATCATTACGAAAATTAACTCATTCTTCATTCTTTGGTTGAAAATGAGATAAATTCATAGTGCATGTCCATGATTAGTATAGAAGAATTCATCCGTATTGAATTTCTGTATAAAAGAGTTTGTATAAACGACAGCCTAGAATCAATTGTTATAACAAATAACTTTGACGAATTTCAAACTTCCACGTCATTATGATTTGCCTAGTTGTTTTATTAACAAAATTTGAGTTCCATTTTTTTGTATCATTCAAAACTTAACAATCAAATGTCTTCAAATTTAATATATCATTTTGAGTATATCATTGATTCGAAAAGTTAAATTAGTGTTTGAAGTTCCAGACTATGTACTTCAAGCTTAATAATGACGACAATTGTAGATATGATTCAACAAAATAGTTTAGTCTTTCCAACATACAACTAAAATAAAAATGACAAAAGCATTCGCTCAATAGAAGCATGTAGAATGATTCTATTTCTTTTGATGACTACTGAATATAACGGAGCCTTTTGTATGTTCTGACAATTAGTATTGGCAACAGCTGCTTTAAATTTCGTGTTTCTTTGTGTGCAATAAGTAACATTGTTTTGTGTGCAGGTGTTAGCAGAATCATTCAGTTAAATATGAAAGAAAGAAACGTTATAGCATTTCAGTATTAAAATCGACCTACTTCTCATTGTATTTTGAGACACAAACTTCTTGCACAGTGTATTGCAAATCATTGACGAATCGGGGTGAAAAATCAAGTTTTATTTATCGATTTCAATACGCATATCATCATCATTTATGACCATGATTTGTCCATGCTGCTCAAACTTCTGGAATGAGTACGAAGAGTAAGCGCTTGTTCATTTTCCTTTCGGTGATTATAATCTTCCCAAGTCATGGTAAATCATCAGTTACTTTTTTCAGCAAGGTTTTTTTCTTTTATAATCACAGTATACCATAGCGTCGTCTTTGCCAAGTTGAGAGTTTATCAATGCGATCTGTCGTTTCGAAAATACAATCTCATGTCGTAACCTTGACTATATTTAAATTTGAGGTTTATTATTTTAAATTTAAGTATTCCACTTGTTACATGAGCTCAATACTTTCATTTCGTTAAAATATTTGTATCCTAACGACTTGGAGCTATCACGGGAAATAAGTTGATTTCGCCCATGAGATAACTCGAATTGTCCTGTTGAAAAATAAATTAGTGAGGCAGCTTGAGTTGACTCCTGTACATATGTTATCATAAAATGGATCGAGTTAGCTGATTGTAGTACGAAGTTCTTGATATGAAACTTGCTTTTACATTTGTCTAGAAATGGTTTGATACGAAACCTTTTTAAAGAATATAGTTAGTAATATGATTTTTCACCCGATAGAAAGTGAAATAGTATTCATATAGTCTAGGTACATTCTAGTTAGATATATCATTTTCTTATGTAATACAGATAGAGTTGTTATTCCTTCAGTTTAGGCTTTCAAGAGCCTGTGTGACTATGTGATTGTTTTCCTAAGCCTTGTTTGGGTATACGAAAGATTTCCTAAACCCTTTCACATATCTTTTTCTAAACTCTTGCAAAGGGTATATAAAAGGGTTTATGAAAACGAACCACCTTTACATATACCCTTTCATAAGGGTTTGTGACAAGTTTGACATACAGTAAAAAAAGGATTTACTATACGTTATATCTTCATAAAACCTTTAAAAGTTTTATTATTCTACGCTTTTTTTAGTGTTGTCTATAGAAACAAAACGAAAAGTCTTTATATCTGTTACGATGTCCTAGTAAATTCTTTTACAAACTCCTCGTCAATGTTATTTCATTCTGCCGGTTTTTTTTTCTGTAAAAAGTGCTCTTGGACATGCATTCCGAACATTCGACTTTGTTCATTACGATCTCCTGTACACAAATGTTTACAAACTATCGTCGTAATCTTTAAGAACAAAAATTCATTTCGAAACATCCTGCACACATGTCCAGAGTTCGGAAGAGAATGAAATGAAACGTAGTTCACCCGTTTCCCATGGAATGTTACTCTTGCCAAATATCTTTTAAAAAAAGTACAACTTATTATTCCCTTACATAGTAGTAAGCAACAAAGAGAAAAGAGGCAATTGGTGTACATGAGATAGTAATCGTCAGAATAGTACATGTTTTGTGTCGTGCATCTAACATTGAAATAGACTAGAAATAGAAACACTTACATCACTCACACACTTAAGTCCATCACAATTGCTATCTTCGTTATCCGCTTCTTCATGCATACCAGCGTAATTCCGATCATTATGTTTGTCGAAAATACCATTGATGTAGAAGCGCTTCTCATCGAAAAATAATATCCTTTTTCGTTGTCGGTTTTCTTAAGTTTTTTGGCCCAAATTCCAAATGATTTTATATTTATCAATCATTTTTGACGTCATTCCATTTTTTATAAGATTTGAGTCCATATCTTCTTTTATTATACGATGGATTGTACCATGTTATGTTTCATTTCTTTTCTTGTGCTAACAGTTATACCGAGCTCACCTTTCTTGATAATCTTTGTTTAATCTTTCGAATAAGTACTTTTGTACAGATATTTTTTTGAACAACCTTTAACGCTTTCCAAAATAATTGTACCAATAGAGTTTATTGATTTTATACTGTGAAAAGTTGTTCTTCTTGAAAAAAAACACTACGTAAATATTTATGAATCTCGCTTTCATTGCGACTTTTCTAGTGCAATCGTAATAAGACGAAGCGATATGAATCTCTTATGGGAAACTATTTGCAAATAAAAAATTTGTCACTTTAATAAGTGGACATAGTAATATTTTATTGATTTCATTGATTTTCATACTTTCTATTATAGCTTTGGACAAATGATCAATAACAAGTCAGTCATTTCTGCTCAACTCAAAGAAATGGACCCGTTATCTCTCACAAACGACGATTTGACTGAATTACAAGAACAAGTGTTTTACAAGTCACCTTCTTTATCTGTCAAACAAGAGTATGGTTATAAGAATTGGTGTCGAACAGTTGACTACGACCGTACACTTCACGTGGATGTGCATGATACAAAAACAATATGTGAAATACTAAAAAGATTAAATAAACTAAATCAAGAACGTGCAAAAGCAAAAAAGAACAAGTTTATACTACGTGCAGCTGCTGGTTGTATTGAAAAAAGTCGAGAACGTATTAGTGCTTTCTCTAATATACTATCTGATACCAAATATCAGAATTCATTTTCGGTCTCACCATGTGTTGAAGCTCATGTCATTTTACATTTGGCTGGTAAGGAATTTGATAAAATAAATATAAATGGCGAACTGGTGACAGTTGGTGCCAATGTACAAATCGGTCAATTAGAAGCCATATTATATAAAAGTAAACCAAGCTTATCTTTACCAGCATCTCCACTTATTCCTTGGGTAACACTCGTTGGTTTAGCAGCAAATGCTGGGCATGGTACTGGCTTAAATCAACCAGCTATAACTGGATTAATAGAAAGTATTACGATGATCAAAGCAAATGGACAATTAAAAATTATTACAAAAGATGATCCGGATTTTGATGTTATTAATGGTGCTCATTTAGGTCTGTTTGGTTTAGTAACAGAAGTAACTATTAAATGTATACCTGCATGTAAATTAAAAGCAACAAAATATGCATGTAGTTTAAATGAATTCTTTAAACAAGTAGAAGAAGAAAAATTATATGAAGAAAATGAATATGTGTCTGTCATGTATGTACCAACTTATCATGAATTAAACGAGGAAAAAGATCACACTAATGTTAACATTGTCGTAGCTAAACAAGTACCAATTGAGACACAAGATTTAAATTGGAGTGAAGTAATACAAGCAGTTGATGATGATCAGCAGGTTTTAGAAATGGATCTATTTAATAGGTGGCGGATTCCTTATTTGTTACGACTTATACCAAGTGCAATTCCTTGCATGATGAAGTTTATTGTTTCAAAGAAAGTAGGTGTAAAGGGAGCTGCGCCCGTCGAAGCAATAGGACCTTTCTACCAGGTATGCGAGCCACATGTATCCGTGTTTATATACATCATACTTCTCTGTTTTTTTTTCATTTTTTAGCTCGCCCATTATCAACGTCAGTTTCCTAGGATATTGGATGATATTGATTTTTTATTTCCTATTAAAGAGCCGAAACAGATGTTAACAGCAGTAAGTGGGCCAACATATAGCATGTTTTCTCTGCTGTATCCATATTTTATTATTGATTTAGCTTAATAAGATCATAACAACATTAGAAAAGTATCGTGCTCAAGGTCATTATCCAGTAAACGATGCTATTTACATACGTATGTTTAAAGGTACAAATGGAGGTTTATCAACCAGTTCACATCAGCAAGATGAATATATAGCAGCAATAGATATCGTCACGGATCCAGAAGTACCACATTATCAGTTGCTACCAGAAGAGAGAAGAAATGGTATACCTAACCAATTTAAAGAAGAAATTCAGCAATACTTTATGGATCCGAGTAACAACCTTCATGCGAAACCACACTGGGGAAAAGCATTGCCTCTGAACACAAATTATGCGATGTTGTATGGTGATAATTTTAAACAATTTATGCGTGTAGCGAAAAATTGGTACAAAGATGCCGGGTGCACGTTTGCCACAAGTCCATTTATGAATCCATTCTTTGAACGAATTTTCAACATAACAGCCAATGAACCAAGACGAGAGACGCAGTTAAATGAACTGAGTAGAAACATACCTGAAAAAACAACGTTTTTGTCGGCTACCAATAAGACAAAAATCGTGAATGACCACGAGTTGAACCACCTACAAAATTATCTGAATGAATTAGAAAAAGATCTGGTGATGGGACGGCACATTGGTCAAGCAGAACCATTACTTTATAACATGCCAACAACTGTTGATAATTCTCAAGCTGACAAGAATGAAAATAATTGTCCATATATTTGCTTATTTAGTCGTGCTGGAGATCCTGATAGTCATTGTAAACAACAACAACAAATTCGTTCCACCGCTGAAAACTTCGTTCAGGAAGTTAGAAGAGCAATAGTAGCTGCTGCCAAAAAGAATCAAGCTGCTAAAATTGCTTCAAATTCAAAACAGATTCAAGATATAAATCCAGTTAATATCCATATTGAATAATTACGAACGACATAAAGGGTGTGGATGTGGATATGGGTGTGGGTGGGTGTGAGTGTGGGTATTGGTGTGGGTGGGTGTGGGTGTGTGGGTGTGGTGTGGCTGACGGAGTCTGGGTGTGTGGGTGTGGGTGTTGATACTTTGATTATCCACACCCACACTCTTTTTCTAATTTCCAAATGATATTAATTGATCCCGCATAAATCAGAAATCATATTGAAAGCTTCTGATAATTAGATATAATAATGCAATAAACAGTACACCATAAAAAGGATTTGTATCGTAAAAAATATCTTTTTTTTTTAGACATTCGCAATTCTAATGTGTCTAGGACTTCAATATCTTCATTAGATCTACAATCAACTTTTGACAATGATTATCGTAACTTTCTGCGTGAGCTGAATAACTTAACTTATGATCATCTGCCTTGCGTTGATGGTCATCCTTATCTTTATCGTTCTACTGAACGTCGTTTCAACATAGATGCTGCTCGTGTTCTTGGTCGTCTTCGCTCTCGTTTTAGTAGTGTTTTTTCTCGTCTTCTTTATTTTGATTTCATTGATGAAGATAATTATATTTATCCATTGCTTGCCAGTCTTGTTCTCCTAAATTTTAAGTTAGCTTTTCTATTGCCTTCGATTATATTTCATAAAAGAGCAGAAAAGATTTGATAAGGCCCGAGTGTTTTTCAATAAATTGGAATAGTTTGACATTAAGTCTGTATGATTTTAAAGCTGAACAAATCAGACGATTATGAAATTATGACTCTCTGAGTTATTTATGAAAAACACAAAAGATACTTCGTATTCAGGATGTTGACAACTTGATGTTTCAAAAAAAAAACATACGGATATTCTTCTGATTAGAAAATGCCGAGTTAAGCATATAACCATCTTCTAAAAATGTCTAGACGTATACTTCAAACACTTATACATCACATACTGTTCGAAGTTTTAAATAATACTTGCGTCTCACATGTCAGTGAATGCACATAGTCACTCTCATCTATTGAGGAATTTACATCTTTTTTGTAATCGAATTATAAATACTTTCATTAAAGCTTCATCTGAACTTATTTCCATGATCGAATATGAACCAAACACATAAGTTCGTTTTCTCTCAATCATGGAATTCATCCGTTCCTTAGCTTTGAAAGAGTTCACAGTATTGTCATTACAGAGTGAAATACGCTTTTTAAACAATGAGACATTTTTCGATTAGTATTCACTTACATTTCATATTTGGGTGTGGGTGAGTGTGGGATGCGGGGTGTGAAGTGTAGGTATGGATGCGGGTATGGGTGAGGATTTTGTCTTCGTATCCATACCCCACACCCACACCCACCACAAAGTTTGCATGCAAACTAGTTTTGTTGAATGTGTAAGAAAATCTGTCAAATTGTATAGAAAACTATTTTTTCATATGCTTGATTTAGTAGCTTTCAACTCTTATTTGCTTTAAAAAATGGAAACTGGAAGGAGACCTGAATTAGTAAACTTTCGTTTGCAACTTATACATGAAATTTTACAAAACTATTATATTCCAAAATCTACAATTGGACGCCCTGTACACGACCATAAACCAACTCGACTGACTGCTAGATATTTTCCTTCTCTTGTACTTCAAACAACGGAAAGACAAACTCCCCAGAAACAATGTATTATGTGTGCACATACTAATAGACGACCTAAAAAGAGAACAGATTTATGTTATATGTGTAAAGATTATGGTGTGGATCTTTGTGTAGTTGGCTGCTTCGAAGAATTTCATACCTTGATAAACTTTTAGGTTTTTTCCTTCCTATGTGTTTCTTTTTATTTCAAAATAAAACAGCTGCATCTTTTAAATAAGGCCTAAAAGTAATAACTATGACCATTAATAACTTTCAAAATATGATTAATTTTAGCAACATAATTTCATTTTTTATGAAAAAAATAAGTCAGCCCCCAAAGGATTAAAAAAATAATAAATTGCGATCGATATAAGCTCTTGTATCTTTTCTCTATGCAATTCTTCTTATCAGTTCACGTACTTCAGAGTATGACGAAATAACTCATAATATTTGTCAAAAATGTGCTTGTTATTGCACAATACATAGAAAAAATATTACTCATTTATATAGCATAGTGCACCAAATTTCGTCACATTCTTACAACAACGAAAATGACAACAATTCAATACAGCACTGACGAAAAAGGTATACGCATTGATCATACTACATTAACACCACGTTATTCAGTCACGAACGATGAAAGTCTCAATGAGGGTATTGCTTATTTAAATGAACATGGCTATGCAGTTTTTAGCGATGTTTTATCTCAAGAAGAAATTAAAACAAATAAGGATTTATTATGGAACTTTTTTGAAAATATTCCTGGATGTCACATTCGACGAAATGATCCAAAGACATGGTCTAGTTTTTGGTAAACATATAGTTTTCTACTTTGAGTTCGAACTTGAATATTATAATTATCATTTTTAGGCCTGGTTTCCCTACTTCGGGCGTTGTAAATAACTGTGGTATAGGTCAATCTGATTTCATGTGGAATATTCGTTCAAATAGAAAAGTCAAACAGGTTTTCGCTCGAATATGGAATACAAATGAATTATTAGTTTCATTCGACGGTTGTGGTGTTTTTCGTAATTGGCATTATGATCCTAAATGGAAAACCAACGGTGGATGGTATCATGTTGATCAAAATCCGATTGAAAAACCTGACCGATGCTGTGTACAAGGACTTGTTTCATTAATGAATCAAAATGAAACAACTGGCGGTCTCATTATTGTTCCGAATACTCATTTACGTTTTGCAGAATTAAATAATCTTGCACGTGGAAGAGGCGATTTTATTAGGATACCACATAATCATCGAGTTTTAGATGGTGGTCAAGCTATTGCAAAACTTGTTCAATGTCAAGCTGGTGATCTTGTTCTATGGGATAGTCGTCTTGTACATTGCAATGCACCAGCCTTCGTCATTGAGCAACAAAACGAGGGTGAATCAGTCGACTTCTTACGTATTGTTGCCTATGTCAGTATGAGTCCAACGACATTCGTACGAGACCATACACTTAATGAATTTCGAAAACAACGTAAATCAATAGTAGAAAATAATATTACGTTAACACATTGGAGTACAGAATTAGTCCAAACACGTAAGTAGAAAATTAAATTTAAGAGACTTTATTGACGTGTTGTTATTTTTTCTATTCTAGGTTCAAAGATTAATCTTCCTAAAATATCAATGAAGAAATTCGATGCATATCAACGTGCACTCATTCTTGGTACTGATTTTGATGACAATTAATCAATCTGTGAATATAAAGACTCTAGAAAAAAAGATATTTGTTTTTTTTCTTGTTTCTAATTGAAAAAACAGACTGTTGTTACATAAAAGACATAGATGATTAAGGAGTGTGACTTATGGCTACCCAATAACTGGTTGTGGATCGACAGGATCCCTAAACGATGGATGCAGAGTTATTTCTGATGGGATTCGAGCCATGTAAATATCATCATGAAATGTGTACACGCTATTTTTAATGTCTAAAAGTCGAAGGCAATCGCGAACATAATGTTGACAGTTGGGTGTGGATAATCTCTTCGAACATCCACACTCCATACCCCACCCTTTTATTTAATAAAAATCATTTTGAACCGCACAAACAAATAAGCATCATTAATTTGTCGTCTGTTCGATTGAAAATTTTTGTACTCGATTATTTTGGAAATCGACAACATAGAGATTGCCATGTCGATCGAATGATAAACCTATGGGATTATTTAATTGATTCGACCGTTCTCCTCGACCGTTTCCACCAACAATAACACTTCCTTGTATGGCTCCTTTTGGCCAACGCATGATTCGATGATTCCCATGATCAGCCACATAAACAGTGCCCAATTGATCAACAACAACTCCTTCAGGACATGACAATTGTGTAAGACTACTTCCATTTCCTTGACCACCGGCTACAACAATGCCTTGTTTTGCACCTTCTTCCCATTTCATCACACGATGATTGTAATAATCAGACACGTACACTGAATGATCTCGATCGACAAATATGTACTCAGGGTAAAAGAGTTGATCGGTACGATTTCCCCATCCATTGCCACCTGCAACCACTGTCCCTTGGGTATCACCAATTCTATATAGTCTAACTTCATGTCTTAATTCGTTAACGACATAGAGAGATCCATTCTCGTCCATTGTCAAACCTGTGCAAAAGATGTTTGAGATGATTGTTTCTCCATTAGTACCATTCCGACGAGGCCATCGAACTACTCTTCTATTCTCCTGATCGCAAATGATGAGACTATCCCTCTCTTTGTCGACAATCACATCTCGTGGGTTGTGCAACTGATGAGCTCCATTCCCTTGTCCATTTCTACCAGCAACCACTTGGCCACTCGTTACACCACGTTTCCATTCCACAATACGATGACTCGACGTATCAGCGACATAAATTGTTTGATCATCATCGACATATAAACCCCATGGATAAGTGAATTGATTTAATCCATTACCTTTTCCATTTCCTCCAGCCACAGTGAGAGCATTTTGTATCCATGTTGCATTCCGATGAATGTCAATAGCGGGTGCTCGTAGTGGTACTTAAAATAAAGAAAACTAAGTATCACAATGAGAGACAAACAAAGTTTTAAGAAAGAGGGTAATTTTATCTGGAAGGGTGAATAAATACAGCATAAACTAAACATCAATTCTTTATTTATTATATTACATATTATGATTCAAATAAATTTCTATATCGTCTTGTTCTTGATTAAAAAATTGATTAAATCTCAAGATATTTCATTTTTCATACTAGTTAGAAAAAAATGAAATGGACATTTTGTATAGCCCTTGAAAACACGCAATATTGTTCTCTCGATAGAGTTACACAGTCATCAATAATATTTTCATCGAACGACTGCTATTACTACTACTGAAACATGATACACCTGTCACAGGCAAAATTAAACTCAGACAGAATTCGTTTTTAATTAGGTACAAAACTACAAAATAAATAAATTCTAATTTTCATTTCCTTTAAGAATAGATAGCACGTACTTGCTTGTTTCTAATTAAGTAAATAGAATATTCGTTTTTACATCATCATACTATAATATATGTATGCAACAATGACTTCTTCTATTTTACATCAGCTGATGATGTTGAAAATTATTTTTATGGGTAACCAAATCAGCATATTAATTTTGTAAGTACTGAACTCTAAGAGAAGACAATTCTTATTATACCACAGCAAACATATAAGCCAAACACTTTTTTTCTTTTTGGTTGAAACATAACTCAATAAAACTTGACGCAATCTCTTTATACTATACGTACTACATATGAAGTACGTTAAATTCGAAGACAAATAAACATCGATAGGGAATACTACTCAAAAAAATATAAGCTTAATCTTCTTTCTTCATTCTTTTAGACAGTCGCCTCACTTTCAAGCCATTTCCACTGCATCATCAAAAAACAGATTCATTGTAGAAAAAAAATTATTGACAAATGGAATTTAACCAATGATTCAGTGTCCCATCATTACAAAAACATAGTTATTCATTTCACAAAAAAAAGCATAATAATCAATCTCAATTTCGTCTGCCACACACACACTACTCTAGATGTCTCTTCTACTACATACAGACACTATGTTCGAAGATTCTCTAGATTTCATCTCTGGATACAAAAGACTGATCGATGAATGGATGAACTCTTGGAAAAAGCAAAGCATGCTCTTGAGAGTTTGACTTTGTTTCATTTCAATGAGTCAGAGAAAAACAAGACTAATTAGTGAGTGAGTGGGTTGAATTCATCAGTGATTGCAGGCTTCACTTCATAGCAGTTAATTTTTTGTGTGAATTCCAATAGATGAAAAGAAGCGGGCAAGTTATTTCGTAATGTTATTGATTGAACATGATTTTGGAAAGAGTCAATTTCTTGGCGTAGTTTACATTCAAATTGAGAAAGAGCATTTTTTAGTGGATAGATATCGAGATCAATTTATATTGGGAAAACAAACTTTAACGTTGCCATTATGCTTTAGTGAGGAAGCGGAAATCTAATCAATGATTAAAAGTAATTCTACTATCTTATTCGTGTATTACTTTATTTCTTTTTTGTGGTTATCACTTATTACCAGTAGTAGTAATGTGCCACTCCTTGTAATGAGATCAACATTAGATGCAAAGTAACTACATACGCCTGATTTCAAATTAACATTTAGTGAAGTTAAGATGTGTTAATGTAAAGCTTACCCCATTGTTGTGTAGCGATTATAGTTATAGCTGTAGTTGTGGTTGTCATTGTGGTGTTCATCACTATTCATCAGCAAAAAATATTTATGTAGTAAACAAAGCAGATAGTATTGATCTGGGATAGAATGAAATATAGAACTCGGTTAATTAAAGTTTTAAATGAAGCCTAAGCAGGATTGTAAAGTAACGTCATGGCATCCATCAATTGGTCTCGAAAGCGAATTTTTCGTTTCTAGAATTCTAACGGACTCTACCTTTAAGATTATTGGCTATCATTCATGAGACGACAAGAGACTTCTTCTTCAATAAATACAATTCATTTTGTTTGCATCTCGTTTCATCTACTTTTTCAAAGGATCATCACTTCTTCTTCACCGTTTGTACACCAACACTAATTGCATGTGTAAGTGATTTGTGAACAGTGAAAAAGATTTGAGGTGCAATTGAATGTAAAGATCACTATTCGTTCTCTTACTTGTGATTGGTGGACAGGTTTGTTGATCAATCATCGACACCGGATAACAAACAGGTTGTAAATGGCATCGAGGATGATGAACACAAATGTGATCAGGTTCATAACAAGCATTGTTTGAAGATTGACATGAAACAAGTTCAGAACAAGGTTCATAGAGAAAGCCACAAATGCCAGTGTCAGGGGCATCTATCATATGAAGACAACCACATGCACCATTCGTCGAACATGGACCATATTGAGGAACTCCATGACATTTGAGAATTCACTTGAACTAGCAACAGACTAAATTAATAGCAAGACATGCAAAAAAAAAAACAAGAATCAAACCTGTAACACTAAAATAGAAAACCAATAAATATTAGAAGAACAAAAAATAAAAATCAATGGCACCTACGTGAGAAGAACGAAAACGAAATAACAGATTACACTTCTGATCATAGCTTGTGTTGAAATGAAGCAATATCGTTAAAGTGTCTCTTGTTTTTGTACTTAATACACAGATGGTATTTTATCTCACATTACTTTAAAGTCGAATAGTACACATTCTAATGCTTTGATAAATGGAAACTCAATATTGCTACTATTAATTATAACTACTTATCCTATTCTAAAAGAAATATAATTTTCGTAGATTCAAAGATGTGGTATCAATGCAAATTAGTGAAAGACTTTTCAGCGAAAGACATTAGTGAAAGGATTTGAGGGTGAGAGTCCTTCACTAGTATGTATTTTGCGAATTTTTTGTTGTTGGTGAAAAAGTCGTTCGGTTGTATGTTTTTCGCAGAATGGACAGCATATCGAAGAGGTGAACCAAGATATTGTACACGCTCGAGTCAACATATTTTATTAAGACCCACACCCACACCCTGGAACTCGTCTTTGTTTGAACAAAAGCTTGGAGTTCCGTGAGTTGTCTGTAAGATAAATAATTATTTCCTTGTTTCCTTCAATATCGAGATAGAGAAGGAACTTAGATAGAAAAGTAATTGTTAAATCGATAATGTTTTTTTTTGCATGTCATAGAAGATAATTGTTTCGTTTAGAAGGAAAGCAAATTTTCTTCTCTTACTATTGAAATTAACGTGTTGCGTGAAAAAAATTCAATAGTAATTTCGAAATCAGTATATAACCTGTTTGATTTTCTCAAAACTTTCATTATAATTTAATTGAAAAGAAAAACTTCCATCTGACAATTTTTTTCAGTCTCTTCTTGCTCTTCTTGGATAGATTGCAATCGTTCATTTGAAATACCTTAAGCGTACGATTGTATTTAAGCATTGAAATGATGGAATCGACACTTGAATCACCAATTAATTTGTTTCCGTTGAGATACAATTCTTGAAGAGTGGTATTATATTGAGTCAGTGCTTGACTCAACGATTGAACTCCTTGATCGCCAATTTCATTGAAAGACAATCCCAAGCATACTAGTGTTCGATTTGTTTGAAGTATTTGAGCCAAATATTGTGCACCTGTGTCTGTGATTCGATTCGCTGCAAGAATAAGAACTTTCAGAATCGAATTGTTTGATGAAAGTTTCTCGGAAAGAGAATTCACGCCACTATCTGAAATAGTATTGTTACAAAGATTTAATGTTTCCAAACTAGTAAAGTTTTTCAGTGCCGATGCGATGATTGAAGCACCGAGTGATGTAATTTGATTCTGTGATAATCGAAGATATTTGCATTGTTTTTTAATAATTGCCTGTTGTAACACAATATCCATGTCTGCATCTGTCAAATCCTGTTCACGTAAATCTACCGTCGATCGAAACTCACACTCATCAATACGATTTTGAAGTTTTTCATTTCGATATGATGAAGGTAAAAGCACACAAGTTTGTCCTTCAATGGAAAATTAATCATTTTATGATTGCTGTAAATCTTTGCCTATTAAGTTATTCATCCATTTCTTATTTAATTACGTGTTTGATTAAAAAAAACTGAGCTTTTAGATATTTTGTCTATAACATCATTTCTTTTCAGCTCATAGATATGATTGCCGTTCGGAAAGGATGTGTCTTTAAATGCTCTACTAGATAATGTATCTCATTTGGTTCACATACTTTTAGTCGATTTCTTAAGTGAATAAATTCTTGGCAAAAGAGAAACTTCAACAGTGCAGCCTACACTGAAAAAAATTTCTGTAGAACTAAAAACCTTTTCAATGTTCATCAAAATACTCAAAATATCCTTCGAAGGTACATTAGGTTATTTGATAAATCCTAAAGGGTATCTTGGACATCTCAATGAACGTTTTTAATGGTTTATAGATTGTTGCACTTTCAAAAATCCTAAAAACTCTTACAGAGTTTAAGTTTTTTTGAGTGTAGACAATATAAAAACTTGATTAACAATTTAGAATTAAGAACTCTTTATATCAGCAGGATTATGTTTGTGGACTTCGCTATTAAAAGAACAGTAATATTCAATCTTAAATCGAAAATTTCTCCTTCTTCGAACAATACTTCCCTATAAATAACCCTGATTCGATACCCATGTGAAAAAAGTATATCGAAAACTACTAGCTTGTATTAATACAGTGGACTGTTAAAGTGATTATCTTTTTCGTCTTCTTCATCATCTTCTAATACAGTTGTTTGACGAACAGTATCTTATTTTATGAAACACTATCGGTAGAGAGTACTGAAATATAGGGCGAGACAAGTAGACCTCCCTCTGCACAGACTGTGGCAGACATGTCGAAAAATTCAATAAAACGTCGTGGTCTATGACTGCTCAGAGCTGTTGTCAACATGTCTGTTACGGTCTGTGATCATCTAGAGAGTTTTCGATATCCTAAGTTTCGGATCTGATAGACATGGAAGAATTTCTTCTTCATGGATAAAATGACTCCATCGTCTTTCGCATTCTAATCGTGTAGGGATTGCACTGAAAGCTCTTCTTAAACAAAGAAAAATCAACACATATTGATCTTATTTGATGTTACTAGCTATTAATACAAAATGACAGATGTTTCACTAGACACTGGTGTTGATGTCTAATAATGCGTTGTTTTTCTTCTAAATACACATGATTTGTCTCGTTCTACAGTGCAGATGCTCACATAGAAAGATGTCACTGTACTTAATATTACTTCCTAAAAGTGAAAAGTATTTTTAAAAAACTATTCATAATACTATATTTTCTAATGTAGAAGTAACTTTTCAATTTTAATAAAATAAGTTTAGAATGCAAAATCAACTTAAAAATGGTTCAATCATTATTACTTTAGTTCACTTTATTAATATTTCACTTAGGTACTAATAGTATAATTTTATTGATTTGATCACCTCGGAAACTGAAAATGAAGACTTCATTTCGAAAATTCATTCGTGTCATTGACAGTATCGGATAATTCGTCGTTTGATTTTCTCTTCTCTTCATTTTGTTATCGTTACCACGAAAGAAGATTGAATAATAGGTTAATGAATTTATTTGTTTGACCTTCTATTCTGTTTTTGCTCTTGGACTTCAAAAATCGAAACGAAGTTTTAAACAATTCACAAGCTAATATAAATTTTATCTTTTGGTCTCATGCAGGTATACTTTCCGGGATAGTTTTAAAGAAGAATTCTTTGTCAAGAGATCACCAATTAAGAAAGGAATTTTCAGCATTCTTGATTTCTAAATTTAACGAATGTAAAAAGCGTGTACATAGAAAGATGCCCATGATTAAACTTCGCACCCAATAACAAATTCTAATTTTCACTTCGATCAACTGATTGTAAAAGTGTCATTTTTATTTTAAAATAACGGGATTGCTTGTGTTACTTGTAGAATTCTATTTATGCATGTGCTAATAATAATTAAAAGTTTTATTATTTTCATAATGCTAATTTCTCTTTTTTCTGATATCGACAATCCCGAACTTATTTTTGAAAAGTCATGCTATCATTGAATGCCACCATTGCTCGGAAGTAATGAATCTCATAAAACGTGTTTTGAACTATTCTAAACTGCAATTTATCTATTCTCTCTTTTTCATTGACCATTTTTCGAAGTGAAAATTAGACTTTTCTAAAATTTAGTACACATCTTCGAAGGATCCAGTTTGATTGTAAGAAAATCTTTCAGAACGATTGCTACACAAGCAAGATGAAGTTGTCGTAACTTCCTCACTATTAATAACGAATTCAAAGAAATAACATGATTAAATTTCTATTACTTAAACATTGAAAAACAATATTGAGACTAAAGCAAATGTGAATTTTATTGCGCAAGCTAATGGGTCTCATAAGATCAAAAAGTCGGATATTTTTTGAGTTTCAGGATTAGAAATCTATTTAAAATCCTAGAATTTCATATCGAGATACTTCTCATGTATTTTTGCAACAGACTGAAAGCTTCACTTTACCGACTGTTCAAGTCAATACTCATTATTGGTCATCTCATGTCCGTCCTTCGAACCGATCGAAAACCGGCGATTAACTGCGGTTCTTATGCTTGAATTTTTTAAAACCCCAACGCAAAAGTTTTAAACTCTTAGAAAAATGTCAACCGTTTCAACCAGTGGTTTTTCACAAAAAAAAAGATGACATTGGATGTTTTACAAGAATCTCACCTTCATTCAATGCATTGAAGTAAACGTTGGGAGTGCGTAATGAGCTTAATCTATAACAGCATGATTGTCCATTTGTATCCTCAAACATGTCGTTGCATACATGACACATTAATTCATCAATTTTCAAATTTGGTTTGACGATATGTTTTAGTAGATGATAAGTGAAAATACTATTGCGTCCATTTTTTGATTCTTCCAATACTGCTTCATTAGGACCACAAGCAAAGACTATTAAAGAACCTGCTACACCTTTCATTGTTGTAAGACCAGTTCTAGTTGTATTTTCTGGTATTGATTTCGTCAATGGTGTGTTCGATAATGCCTGATTTTCAGTTAGATACGTTCGACAACAGTCAAGCAAGAACACGATAGTACTAGGTCGACGTTTTGTCATTGACTCAAGTATAAATTGAACGCGAATAGCATAATGTCGATACATTTCGGTATCATCAGCGAGACATTTGTTATCAATAGCAATTAAATAATTCTGATCCTCCCATTGGATTCCATGACCAGAGTAAAAGAAAACAACGAGATCATCTGTGTTGATTTGTCGTTGAAATCGAAGGATTATCTGGATCATAGTTACATATGGCAAATCAGTACCTATAGTCACCTGAAAGCCCATTTGTTTCAACTCATTAGCTACATCATGAACGTCGTTGATGCAGTATTTGAGTTTGTCTCCATGTTCATAATTATTGTTACCGATAAGTAGAGCCAATTTTTTGGGTGGTCGACCAGCAACAACGATCGATTCATCATTCATTTCGGAACTCATTGCAAGAATGAAAACATTCTACAAAACAGAACAAGTTTCCACTGAAATGATAGTGATGAAAATTTAAACAATTTTGAAGCATCATGTGCTATTTCGTCATCCCTCATTCTTTTATAAGCATAGTGTGATATCACATTTTTCTGTTATTTGACTTTGTATCAGTATTTTGTCTTCTCTAGTAGAAGCAAAAGGCATAAGAAAAGTTCTTTTTTTACTATGATGCTTGAATTGTCATAGTTTCGAAAGTTTCGTTTTGGATTTTTCAATTTTGAATGTGCTGAAGTTGAAGAGATTCTAAGTAGGGTTCTCGATTTTTTTTCTAAAGTAAGAGGGGTTAAAATTTAGCAGATACTTGATCACTAATCCAGAGCGGATCGTGGGATAAAGTTTGATGGAAACTGCAAATTTTCTGGTAAATATTGTCCAAAATGATGTGCTTTTTGCCATACTTTTGGAAAAACGTGTCTGTTTTCCAGATTTGGGAATGACGACAGACAGCGGCACAAAAATTCACTTAGACATAACTCAAAAATGGTGACCAAACCTGTAGTAACTCTTTCTTCACTGTAGAGCCGAAGTCCAAGTCTTCTTTGACCTAGCTCACAGCACTATTGTCTGTTCTTCTATTCTATTTGTTGAGTCCAATCGAGAAAAAGCAACTTGATGCTCTTCGCCATGACCACTTCCTCCAAAATTTTCCCACTTAATAGCTGTGAATGAACGATTAAAATATTACTTTGTATATCGTCGAAAAAAGGAAACTATTTTTCTTTTTCGTTGCAAATGCATGTTTGAAATGAAACACAATCAATACGTGTAACTCATACCAACTGATATACCCTCATCTGTCTCTCTCTCTTATCAATGTCAATAAATAGCTGGAGACTACAAGAAAAAAAATTATCTGTGAATATCTCAAACCAGTATCGTTTGAGAATAGTTCGTTATGGCGGTAGAAATTGAAAGTCAATATCTTACAGAAGAAAAAACTTGCCATAATCACAGCTGCTCGAGATTGAAATACATATGCGTAATTGAAATCAATTCAGTTGAATTAATCCTTAGTTTTTATCTGACACATGACACTAACACACTAAAATAAAATGTGTCGCATTATGTGTCGCATGTGTCGCAACGAGCACCTCGTGTCGTATTTCTTGCGTTCTTCGC